CTGAAAACGTTGGAACATCCGTCGAACTGAAAAACGGGACAGGTTCAACTGTCGAGCAACGTCACACTGTCGCATCCCCGACTGCAATAGGGCAATCACTTGAGCGGCTTCTTCAGAGCTGTGTCCATCTTTACTTGTTCTTACTTGGGTTACTTGTTCACGTGTGTTCACTGCAAAGTCTAAATTACGACTGACCCATATTTCATCCAGATCGACCCTTTTATACCCTTTTTAGGTGGTGTAACTAGCGTCCTTACTAACGAGCATTTGACAGTGTTTATTTTTGACGCTCTCTTAATGATAAATGTTTTAATGATTTCATGATGTTTTTATTAATAATGTAAAGCTATTCAAATACCCATTTCAAACATACCAATATTTATATAAATATAATTCGTTTTTACCCATTACAGCCATTTTTCGCGCAAACTCAGAGAGGTGCGATTTTTGTGACGCTGAGTGTACTACAGTGGGGATGTATTTTTTTTAATTTAATCAGAAGATACAAGTGTACTTACTTTCATATTTGGCATAGTATACAGAGACCATAGATGACTATTTGATATTTCAATTTCCACGCATGAATTACACTTAACATATTTCAATAGATTTGTCTCATTTTTGAACATTAAATTTATTTATTTATTTATTTATTTATTTATTTACACACACTCACACACACACCCACACACACACACACCACACACACACACACACACACACACACACACACACACACACACACACACACACACACACACACACACACACACACACACACACACACACACACACACACACACACACACACACTTAACAACTATCCTTACAGGCTAAACAAACCCAATACGATAGTGTCATTAATTTACTTAAATATACTATGTATTACAACTAACTTACTTAACTAACTATGTACAAAAGTACCTTAGCGAGTTCACTCAGAGATTACTCGAAAACATGTCAATCCTCTCATGAACTTTATTCACTTCTAGGATTGATCGGACTATAGATGAGTTATTAAGCAAATTGGTCCTGGCCACGGGCACCGCGAGCAGCGGCGGGCGGCGTCGCCTCCACACGTACCGGTCCGGTGCGCACAGCTGCAGGTGGCGCTGCACCCCCGGGTTGCATGTGGCGCCACGAAGCAACTTCACTACTTGAGCAGCCAGGGCAAACTCCCGTCTTACTCTGAGCTGGTTGTACCCGACCATCCCGAGCACGAACAATGTGGGGTACCTCAAAGGGTAAAACGGATATACCCCATACAGTTTGAAGTATATGTGCCTCATAAATTTGTTTTGGACACGTTCTAGCATTAGGCTGTACTTTTCTTCATGCGGAGCCCATATAACAGCACTGTACTCCAAATGACTCCTGACTAGAGCATCGTATAGTACTTTCAGAGTGGTAATATTTTTAATATCTCTTGACTGTTTCAGGACAAAACCCAGGTTTCTATACGCCTTTCATGTAGCTGACGAAGAACTGGAGCATATACGAAGTACATCCGACTTGAGCCAACTTTTTTAATAAAATATCATGATCCACCGTATCAAAAGCCTTTTTAAAATCAAAGTAGGCTATGTCTACTTGTACTCCAGCATCAACTGCCGGTACTACCTGCGCCATAAAGTTCTGCAAATTGGTGGCTGTACTGCGGTCCGGCCCAAACCCGTGCTGCGCGTCGGAGAGATGAGCGCTTATTTGTGATTGCATCCGTCGGTGGATAGCTGACTCGAACACTTTCGCTGCCGTCGACAGTACAGCCACAGGTCTATAACTGCTCACATCAGTACCTGACTTACCTTTCGGAACCGGAATGACTCTCGTGATCTTCCATCTCGCCGGGAACGTTGCATGTTTTAAGCACATATTAAAAATATGATGTAGCGGTTCTGCCAGTATCCTCCTGCAATCCCTAAAAAGAAAAGCTAGTATACCATCCGGACCCGACGAGCGTTTTGGCTTGAGATGAACGAGCGCCTCTCTTACTTCCTGAAGACTCAGAGTATCTATGTGGACAGTCGCCGAGGTGGTATCAGCTACCGCCGCCGCCGCGCGTATGCCTAATCGCGGCGGATCCTTGTTGTATACCGATTCAAAAAAATCTGCAAATTCCTTAACAGCTTCATCATCCCTTAAGTATTCACCATCTTTAATGATACTCTGCTTATCTAAATTACTTTTTTTAGATTTAAAATATTGCCAAAACGATTTTGGGTCTTTTGCAAATTGAAGTTCAATTTTATTTTTGTATTCCTTATGTGCAAATCTATGGATTTTTTAATACGTTTTCTACACTTAGCGAATTCACTGTAATCACTGTCAAGCTTTGTGTTTTTAAATTTTTTGTGAAGTATTGCTTTATTTTTGATTTCATTAATAATTTCGCGCGTGTACCATACTGGGTATACACACTGTGATTGTTTTTTATTTGTATTTTTTCTAGGTATACATTTATCTAAAATATTATTAAGTGTATCATAAAAGTAATCTAAAATGTCTTCTACGTCACTCATTTCATATATCTTACTCAAATCGTTGGAAGCTAGCATTGATTATAGTGATGGATAGTCAGCTTTATAAAAATTCCACTTCGGTGTAATATTGGAAACACTCGCCTCGAAGGGTGTGTGCGGCGATGTGGGAGGTGGAGGGGTCGCGGGCCAGACGTGCACGCTGACTGCGAGCGGCGGATGGTACGGGTCCACTAGCAGGAGCTCCTCGTCCGCCGCCTCCACCAACACCGATCCCGACCCATTAAAGCCCGTGCGCAGTACCAAGTCCAACTGACGATCTAAACAGTTAGGCATTTTATTATACTGAGTGAACTCGTAATAGGACATGAAGCACTCAAAATAATTACTAATATTTACAGAACTTGAGTACAAATTAAAATCTCCTATTACAATAACCTGCTTATATCTATCACACAATTTTTCTATTATTCTAAACAAAGTCGCATAATCATTTTCTGAACTGCCTGGTGGTATATAAATCACACAGCACATAAACAAAAATCTATTATTTAAATGAACTGTCGCACTAACCATTTCAAATGCATAGGTGTCTATAGAAGCGTCCGCAACAAGTACATGCCGTAGCTCGAACCGGTATGTGGCCACTATAAAGTGCACCGCCCTGCTTCCGTCCGTCTGTTCGATCACAACGCAATATTTTGTATCCTTGTGGTACGATCTCTGCATCTTGTATCGATTCATTACAACCTGTTTCCGTGATCGCGTATAAGTCCGCATTAGAAGACACAATATTACTCCTAAAAATATCCAATTTATTTCTTAGACCCCTTACATTTTGATAAAATATGTCTATTTTATTATTATTTATCAAAACTTTTCTTGGTGAATCTACGAAATCAAATCCATTCATTAAATTCAGCGTTTAATGGCCATACTTCAGCTTTATTCAGATTTTCATAAAACTATTCAGGTACACCTATAATAAAAGATGAATAATCTCGCTCTGTTTTATGTTTGATTTTTTCAATTTTTATATTCGCTCTTAATATGGTCAGTAACCGCTTCTGGGGTGGTTTTCGGGTGTAAACGCCATACGTGCAGATTTTTTTTCTTTCCGTATCCTGTATTGCCTTTATATCTGTATTTTTTCCTATTCTCACATCTTTATATAATCTAATAGTCTTCTTATATTGTACCGTCTTCCAACCAGCTTGTTTATGATCCTCTTAGTTAATCGAATCCGTACTTATTGACTCAGTAATCATCGGTGTGCTTATTAGTTTCACCTGGGCCGTATGTTCAGTCGGTTTCGTGGCTTCATCGCTGTTCATATTTTGCGTATAAGAAATATGGCGACTAATTAGAAAAGCGAGACAAATATTAGTCTCTAAATAGTCTCTAAGTAGTAAGTGACTCAATTTATGTAGAATTATAGGTTCTCTCTATGCATACATATGTATGTAATTACTCTAAAGCTGACAGTATGTAGTTGATGCCACACTGCTCACTAGATCATAAAAATTGCAATAGACTAAATCTAGTTGTGCGACTGAATCAACGTACTACAAAAATGCCAAATTGTTCAGATATTTCGCTGCAAAAAGAGATCTGCCAAATAAAACTTACAAAGAGATTGCGACTTTTCATACATAATTAATCTTTAGCCACATTTTGGCTATTTACTTCTTTTTAAACTTAAAAATTATAAAAGTAACGGTTGTGTTATTTCGGATTTGTTTATCAACATGAGCCGCTCGCCTTTTCGCTCGATTTAGTAAGATTAAGGATTTTTATTAATCTGTTTCGTACAATTTATTTATATTAAGGAACGTTAATAGAAGCTTCATTGAGATCTTACAACAAAAACTTATTCGAATAATGAGTAATTTCATACCATCGTGGTAAGTTAAAATTTATCTTTGAAAAGGTCACTAAAACATCAACTTAAATTCAGTTTCTACCAAATAAGCCCTAGTCTTGTAATAGGTTTCATTTAATTATTTTTAACGATGGTACAAGTATATTCAAGTATGGTACAGTTTTTCTATATTGCAAAAAGTATCCAATTCTAATTATTTGAAGTAATATCGACGTTATAAGTTGAGCGATATTTAACAATTTTTTATTTCATAACTACATGGGTGCAGTTTAAATAATTAATATTTTTGAGATGTGCTATTTGAAATACATCTGTTAATATTTTTTAAAATATATATTAACAAAATTTCTAGGCTGGGGCAGGGGGGGGGGGTACTTCTAATTAGTTTGTGTGGTAGCCCGTGTTGCTCTATGGTGGATATAATCACTACCAAAAAGTATAGTCACTACGTTGAAGTTTAGTCTTTGAGTTTGAGTAGTATTGATTTTCAAGCTTAGTCTATGTATAACAGGTATAGCCAAAGAGAATATAGCCTATGGCTTTTTATTTTTTTTTATTTCAATGGAGTTCGTAGTTTGTCCGTTTTGTTTTTCCTGTTATATTACACGATTTATGATTGAAATTTGAGTTTTCAGTTAAGAATGGCGTCAGCACCAGAAGAACCCCTACCTGAAGGATGGGAAGCCCGCAAAAGTCGAAGCACTGGTGAGAATCAAACACTTTTTGGTACCACGATTTATATACGCCCTAATGTTCAAGTATTGATTTTTGTTGTAATAATAGCATTGTGTAATATATTTCTTTAAACAGCCCATTACTGATAAAAATTTGCCCTTTATATATTATTCATGTTTTCCATTAAAATATAGTTAATTTTTCAACATGATATGAAATAAGTATGCACCAGAGAGAGGGCAGCCCCCTTCAAATTGAAACTGGAAATTCAGTTTGCTTTCTTATTTTAGTTATGTTAATATATATATAGTAAAACTTGGTGTAATGGCACCTGCATAAATGAGAAACCATAGCTGGAACTCATGCTTAGGTCCCGTCACTTTAGTACTGAATTACCTGTTAGTGGGACAAAACAAACCTCTATATCTGGGATTACTTCTTTCGATTTTATCGTCATAATTATCTCTATAATTGAGACAGCGAGTGTATTTTACCTCTTTTACTAAGACTATATTTTATGTACCATTTTGTTTACTAATTCTTATTCTACCCGCAATTTACACACTGCTAATTGTGTAAAAGTGATGTCCAGTTTTAGTTTGGTTTTGTTATCGTCCTGATGTTTACGTTTCAAAGGTGTTAAAACTTTGCCTTTGAATTGACAAGCTAATCAAAAAGCTTGGATGACATCTACTATTTCTGCCGATTGGATGAAGAATTTGAATCAAGTAATGAAGTCCCAGATATGAAAAATATTGATGTTTGTTGACAATTGTATAGCTCACAATACTGTACATTTATAGATTACAACTCATGTATAATGTTAACAAAATATGTTATATTATTTAATAATCACACCTCTATCCACTCAAACGTCCGGGCGACTATAGTCGCCTAAAACTTTTTCCGGTTGAACGTTAGGGCGACTAGAGCGTCCTCGCTGACTTCTACACTTTAAACAACTTTTTATCTATGGAAAGTTACAAAAATGTTCATGAATGTTACACTAGACGGCTCTATATTAAAAATGCATCTAAGGGTTAGTAAAAAGTATATGCCTAGTAACAGATACCATTGAAAAAACAAAAAAAACTAGCATTGTGCCAAGTTTTGTTGGTAGTACTGTGACTACTGCATTTAAAATGTAAGTAATAATGTGTTTATTATAGTTTTGTACCGGTATTATATATGAAAATAATCTTCAAGGTGCTTTCTTTTCATATATCTATAAGTTTTATGAATCCAAAGTCTGATAATTAAATTCTGCATTTCATTAGATTTCTGTGAGTGATTTTTATTCTGATATAGATAAAGAACTTTCTCCGTGGTTAATGGTTTTAGTCGAACTGGTCGTGATCGGACCGTACAAAAATCGCGATGAGCTTCGCCGGGACGTTCAAGGCTATTGTAGCCGCGTCGTCCGGACGTTTGAGTGGTTAGAACTGAAATAACCTTTATTCTCACTTCTATTAATTGAACCTCTGTAAATGAGATATATTTATTTATACCTGGATATCTGAGACACTGGATAAGTGGAATACCTCTTTAAGTGAGACAAATTTGCAGGTCTCTTAAGGTCCCAGTTATCCAGGGTTTTTCCCCGACGTTTCAAGCACTTTACAGCATTCATGGCCACGGGGGATAGAAGTGCTCTATGCTCAATGTCATAGTTAATCATGGCTACCTCAAAATTTAATTTGGTGGTAGCTCCAGATTAGAGTATACAATTCTTCTGGATCCTGGCCGTTTTTGGCTCTGAAAATCCTGGGACTGTACTTGGCTAAGCTCGGTAATTTAGGATTGCCACAAACAGGTCTAGCTTGCATTCCATAGTACGTTGCACCTTGACAATATCCTTGTCTAGATTATATTAATAGTGTTTATTATATAACAACAAAAATCAACCCAACCATATTGTTGCACAACTGTGTTTTGCAACAATATTAAAAACATTTTTTAAGAAATTACTCAAGTTTTTTTTCATTTGGGCCCAATTAGAAACCCCGGGATCCTGAGATTACATATCTAAAATCAGGATTGTATTCTCTACTCCAGATTAAATCTATTAAATCCGTAAAAACTAGTTTTATTTAAATGGAAATACAGATAAAAAAAATAACAAAGACTAATCAACTGATTTAGAGCTTTGCTATTCTATTCATGGCTTAATTGACTCAATTGATTACTGTATGTAAAATTCTTCAATTTGATTACATCACTGCTACTAAAAAAATAATATATTGATTTTGTACAATATGGTTTTATTAAATAAATGTATTTATTTATTAAATACTGAGACTGAACTGGGTTTTCTGTGTGAACTTCTGCAAGTCCACTCAAGTAGGAGTGGGTGATATAAATTGCATATAGATACAATATCTATATGATAATACAATATTATGCAATATTTAATATTTGATCAAAAGACTTACTATGAATTAGATAATTCTGCATTACATCCTTCTATATAATGACTATTCTATGAGCACAGAGTTGTGTTGTCCTGTTATATCTAATATCAAATTTGAAATAATAATAATGTAAAATATCTAAAATATGATACACTGATTTGAATTTTGAACAAAATGTGTGTGTGCAAGAGAATGCAAGATATATTGAGTGAATACAAATACGAAATACACATGCATTTGGTAAAATAAGTATAAAAATCATTTTAAATTATTGTTTCTAAACATATATACTATATATTTGATAAAGACGTTAATTACATATACAGTTCATATCTATACTAATATAATAAAGCGGAAGAGTTTTTTTGTTTGTTTAAACGTGCTAATCTCTGGAACTACCAGTCCGATTTGAAAAATTATTTTTGTATATTATAGCCAGATTCATGTGGAATAGTATAGGCTATCTAGCATTAAGCAATATTACTCAGCTAGCCTTAAAAATGGATATTTGTTAAGCAAGTCAGAAGAAAAAGCACTTCTGAAATAATTTATCCGCGTACGCTGGTGTTATCGTTAGGGATACGTAAATACAATGTTTTAGAAAAATATAGTCCTTTACTCCGTCTAAAAAAAAGTCCGCGATACCATATGTCTATTTCTTATACATAAGCCATAATTTGGTATTTTGTGACAAAAAAATATTGAAAATTAAAAAGTGATTTATGAGCGTTATTATTAGGGATGACCTATTTATCCTTACGAACGAAACTTACTTCATCATCAAGACAATTTTATGAAGATAAACTTTGTTCTTTATACCATGTTATTTGGATGCATAGTTTAAGAGATAATGTAAAATTAAAATAATTCAATACTTGGCTGGGCGCGCGAACGTCACTTAAACCCTAGCCGTTATAAAATGCTTGAACTAGGTCATGTCGCGCACCTCGGACACGTGATGACGGGGGTGAAACCGCGGGGCACAGCTAGTACTTTATATTTATTTTATTAAATTTTTAACGCCTTTCAAACAAAAAAGTGAATATTAAATAAGCAGTGACATCACTAAATGACAGCAGATTATTTATCTTGTTATTATAAGGAAAGATAAGTAGGGATTGCAGGGGGCCCTCCTGTAAATGTGTAAAGGATTTAAGGGGACTTAATAAATGGGGTCCATTATGCATGGGGGAATGGAGGCTGTGTAAAAAGTGTGTCTCTAGTGTTCAAGCAGCATATAAGTTAGTGCAATTCTAATATATCACACATCTTTGCCCCTTGTAAGGAGGATGCGCTTAGGTTCCTCATCTTACTTAACACATAAAATTGGTTAATTTATTTTTTATTTTGTGTTTTTCGTGTAGTGGCAGTGTAAGAATCTACTACACCGTATCTTCCCGTGGCAGTCGTAAGAGGTGACAGAGGGAAACAGACAGTAGATGTGTAGCAGAATCTTTCTGATAACAGCATAATTACAAAAAAATTGCAGCTACCAACTATGGCAAACATCATGAGCAACAACATAAAGAAACAGCTCCCTAGTCCCTGGTGGCCCCGATATTCCTGGCTACGGTGGCGACCATCGTAACAACTGGGCAGGGGGTGCTAAGAATCTCTGGTGAAGGTTCGGTTACCACCTAAGACGACTCGACTTGGTATCATTCAACGCACGCACCCTGACTACTAACGAGAAGATCCTGGAGCTGGAGCAAGAGATAGACAAGTTGCGCTGGGATATTATAGGATAATCTGAGGTCCGAAGCGACAGGGAGGACATAGTGTCCTCGAATCCGGCAACTTCTTCTATCACCGGGAGGTAACCATCTGCACAAAGCAGGTGTCAGATTTATCGTCCACAAGCCTCTTGTTAACAACATTGTGAAAATTGGGAGGTTTACGCAACCCACTATACGGTGTTAATGGGAGACTTCAACGCAAAACTAGGCACAAGAAAGAATGGTGAGCTCTAGGTAGAGAAATTTGGGACAGAGATCTGTCTGCCAGAAAGAGCCAACTGTCGAAGCTGAAGGGCAGCTGTACACTTCATTCTTGGAGTCACACGCAAGTGTGAGTAACCGATAGTGAAAGTGTAAGTAAGTCTTATATGACACTATTCATATGATATCCCGACGTCAGTCTCAGCGAGATTAGAATGGTTTTCAACACCTTAAAAACAGCAAGGCCCCGAGTGAGGATGGAATTACAACGGACCTTCTGAAAGCGAGTGGAAAACCAGAACTTAAAATCCTTTAGAAGCTTTTTAATTCCGACCTCCATTGTGGTACTACTCCGGAGGCGTGGAGCAGAAGTGCGATTGTCTTGTTCTTAAGTAAGGCGATAACGTTCTCTTGAAAAACTATATACCGATTTCCCTTCTGAGCCGCGTCTACGTGCTGTTTTCGTTAGCCCTTACGAATCGTCTCGCACGCACTTTCGACGACTTCTAACCTCCCGAACACACACACACACACACACACACACACACACACACACACACTCACACACACACTCACACGCACACGCACACACGCACACAACGATACTGGAGTCTCTTCAGCGGTGATAAATTGACTTTCGGTAGATATACCAAAGCGCTGAAGTATTTGTACAGTAGGGCTACGATGGGTATTCGAGTTCAGAACCAGAGTATGGAATCCATCAAACTGCAGAGAGGTGTAAGATAGGAGACGTTATATCCCTGAAACTTCATTGCTGCATTGAAAGACGTTTTTAAGTTGGATTGGAAATGATACGGTATTAACATCTATGGCGAGTATATCACTCACTTTCGATTTGCCGACGATATAGTATTTATGGCAAAATTGTTGAGAGGACCTAAGCACTATGCTCAATGACATTAATAGTATTTCCCAACGGATAGGTCTTAAGATGAACATGGAGAAAACAAAGATGAGGTGTAACGTCTATGTCACTTTATCCGGCAGTTGTTGGGAGCACTACGGTCGAAGTCGACGACAAGTGTGCTTACCTAGGACAAATAGTCCGACATTTAGCTGAGCGGCGTTCGGGAGATTACGACACATCTTCTCGACAGGTATATATATACACCTCAAAACTTGAAAAATGATTGTACAATCAGTGCATGCTGCCAGTGACGCCTTATGGATCTGAGACGTGGTTCTTTACTGCTGGCCGTATGACGAAGTTCAAGGTCGCTCAGCGAGCTAGGGAGAGGAACGAACGAGACGAACAAACAAATATTTATTTTTATATTTGTATTACATTATATTGTAAATTATGTTTAGAAATAATAATTTAAAATTTTGAACAACCGACTTCAATATAAATTATTAAGAATAACTTAAAAACTATTGGTCAGACCTTGATCAAATTTATATGGGACCACATGAGAAGCACCAGCTTTCAAATATAAAAAGAATCATCACACACACATAAAAGAAGAAGAAAAATAACACAGTCGAATTGTGTACCGTCTCCTTTTTGGAAGTCCGTAGAAAAGTCCCGCTGGGTTTCTTGCAGGTTTTCTCGGGATTTTTCCCAACCAGTCGTAAAATTTAAATGACTCATATTGTTGTAATCTTTGTATCCTTGTATCTATATTGAGTAAAAATATTCTATTCTATATTATTTAAAAAATCAATATTTCAACTTTATTACAGTATTTTTCAAGGAATCAAATGATTGATGATGATTTCCACCCTCCTCACTTCCATCATGGCTAAAACTGTTTAAAGTACAGAATTATCAGAAGTAAGGAGTTATGACAAAAAAATTAAAACAAAATTGTGTTTAATAGCTGTTTTTGATAAAACTATGACTATAAACAATAGTTATAAATCCATATAGACATTAAAAGTGTGTAATCCTACTTTTTGTAACAGGTATGACTTATTACCTAAATTGCCACACCAAGAAATCGCAGTGGGAAAGACCTAATGCACCAGCTCCTCTAGAAGACGAAGAGGAAGACGACGGAAGTTCCCCTACAGAAGTTCAGTGTAGTCATATACTAGTGAAACATTCTGGAAGTCGTCGACCATCCTCGTGGAGGGAAGAAAATATAATACGCTCGAAAGAAGAAGCATTAGATATTATACAAGGTACATATTTCAGTTGTGCATAGTTATACCTCAAATTTACACAGTCCAAGCAATAACATGTGGTTAGTAGAATTTGCTAAGTCTGGGTATAATTTTGCATATATACATACATATGATTAATTGGACCATGGCTAAAGAAAAATTTGTCGGAAATCTACGAGACTTAAAAACCAAATGGTTCATAGATGGGTCAGTGCTTACAGGGAAGAAATAAATCATCATAATTTTCATAAGCCTTTTTAAGTCTACTACTGAACTTAAACTTACATCATCAGACACACAATTCTTGAAAGAAAGTGCATACTTTCTTTCAAGTGTGTCAATTGTGTGCAAGTGAATGGGTTGGTGAGTGCAAACTATTTCGTTGTTAACGCAGTTTCTTTCTGATTTCAGAATATCGTCGGAGGATCATTAACCGGGAGTCTTTGTTTCAAGATCTTGCTCGAGAATACTCCGATTGTTCATCAGCAAAACGGGACGGGGATCTTGGAAGGTTTAAACGTGGCCAGATGCAGAAACCTTTTGAGGATGTTGCCTTCTCGCTCAAGATTGGTCAACTTAGTTATCCTGTGGAGACAGATTCAGGCGTTCATATTATCTTACGAACCGCTTAAATTCAAAAGGATATCCTTCATTTAAAGATCTTGTATTTTTTTTAAGATTAAGAGTTCCTTTTTTTTTTACAAACTTTTTTTCAAATGTTTCTAATTTAAGTTCTTAATTTTTAAACATAAGGCATGAAGGTACTTTGATGTCGCCTGTCTAGATTTATACACTTAAAGTAAATGTTTTCATAACAAGTGTATTTAATAATGTTGAGTATCGCTTAATTTTTTAATTACTCTTTGAGTTTACTTCAACTATATGATTTACTAATACCTTCTAAGTATATGGTTCTACATACTGTTTAGTTTACATCCAAGCATTTTAACACATGAAAGCTGCCGCTTTGGGTACTTAATTTAATTAAGCATTATGTGTTCGTAATAACAGCTTTCAGTTAGACCTTTGAGAGACAGTTGAGATATTGCTACAAATTTTTAGTGAATACACTACCTACAATATATGTAATTTATTTGAGGTTAGATACGTAGAATCTTTAAAGATGTAGCCTCTCTGAGTACAGACTCACTTAGTGTGTTAAAATTCAGACACATGCTTAAAATCCTGTTGCAGTGCATTATGTAACTAAAAACCGACCCTTCACTAAGGTGTGGTATGAATTAGCATAGTTCTTGTCTGATAGCTCTATGGTAAAATGATTCCCAGTATATAAACATAAGTAGATGTTCTATCTGAATTTATTTTAACATTTATATTTTTTTTCTAATAGGTGTTTTTAAGGTATTTGGCAGTTTATTATGTGGTATTTGACAAAAGTGTTGTATATGTATTTTATACGTATGATATTTTACACGCGTATTTGATGTATAGCAGTAACGCGTAGGCGCGCGCCATAGTGTGCTTTTTGTTATTTCTACGGCTATCATATACTACTTCAATAATCGTAACACGTAGGTATCCACGAACACTATTATATTCTAGACTACTAGTGGTTAATTATAACAAAGTAAAACTAAAAAAGTAAACACTACATAATCAATATAATAAACATTTATTCGTAAAAGTTAGTTAGTTATTGTATTTAATGATACTGGCATTGACTTTAACTGCTTGTAAGTGTTGTCATAACTATTTAACCAATATTAATAATATCTACCTTAATCTTTTACAGTGTTTTAAGATATGTTAATTTATGGAACTCTGTATTTTACTCTTTAGCGTATTTTGTCTTACGGCGAATTTAAACTGTTGTCAATGCTCAATATTTCACTTCGCTGTTGCACATTGTCAATAATGAGTAGAAATATCGTAGTTTTGCCATACTATATCTATGTTGACGGCTGTATATGTGTTTCTTAATGTAAAATTCGTAATTATTTCTTAGGTCTGTTTGATAAATCGGACTTTCAATTTGTAAACTCGATAAGGTTTTTGAACAACAGGCTGAAAAGTAATTTAGCATTTCCATTCTTATTTCGGTCCGTCTAGAATCCACGACTAGGGTATAAAAACTGTCGCCGTCAGCATATAATAATAATAATATCGTGAAAATCTTAGAACTAACATTCCTCGTTCTCATAGAACTCAATGTAGTTTTAATCAGCTCTTTCTAATATGGATGGCAATTTTGTGGTGTAAGAGTATTGAATATAACCGTTATTTTAATTTTACGGGAGAGATGCATCTCTTATTACTTATTCGCCCCTTTATCTTTTAGCTGCGCCATTAATATGAACGATTTTAGCGATTTGTATCTAAACTTGTGCATTCGTCTCGTTTGTCCCCATTAAACAAATTCTACCAATGTGTTCGAGGAAATAAAATCTGCCGTCGGTGAATATGGGGTTCCCTGTAGAAGTCCTAGACTCGCACTTGGTTTCAGAGCTGCGATTTCCACCTTGGACCTAAAAAAGACCTCCGGTGAACGTTTGTCCGTGCTTCTACTTGAACCCAGCCTCATCGTTGTCTGATGTTACTCAAAGCATGCATATTTGTGTGCTCTATATTACTTTGTTTGGTTCTTCGGCCGCATACTGTGGTGGAGAAGAGTAGAATGTACTGGAATTAGGGCGCCTTCTATAAATATATTTTTTTTCTTAAAGTAGCGAATTTTTCTTTTCATGTCTCTTTTCCTAAGCATGTACAAAAACCTTGCGTAATTCGCACAAGATTTTTGCATATACTACACACGTGCATGACGTAGTTTTTATAATGTATTCTTCATAAATCACCCGTGGTCTCCATAAAGGTCAAAGGTGTGTGCCAAAGTAGTTCCGCAATAAAATATATTAACCATACCTACACACTGTACAACTAAACAAAGCGACATTTTGCAGCTGAAACAGTGAACAGATCACGGGAAATATTTGTAAGCATTTTTTCGGACTGATGTTTTATTGTGTTAGGGTACTTTATTTAGAATTTTGACTAACTTTAAAAAAAAGTTGTGTTTTTTTTTATTCTACACATTTTAGTCATAAGTTTTTCATATTTTTATACTTTATGTTCAATTATTGTATTTCAACTTGAAATTGGATCGAAACGACATGATATTATACTCTGTATGTGTCTATTTAGTGAAAACGTTAAATAAACGTTTTTAGATGGGATTTTGTATTTTATTTCACGATTAAGACGAGCAATGATCCACGACTTTTTCTCCCACCAGGGCAGTGAGGTGCAATATTTGATAGAAGATTTCATAGCGGGAAAGTTAATTTGTTCGAAATATGTAAAGGTAATTGTTTGTTTCTGTACTACTATCTAGTATATAAATGTTTATTTTTGTTCGTTCGTATTTTATGCGCTGCCATACCGTTCTTCAGATTGTGCTAAAACTTTGTCAACTTATTGCTTGCGCTTGCGTGAATGTTATAGGGATAGTAAAATTTACTTCAGTAGGTGGCGCGTACGGACAAATTTATTTGAAAGTTTTATATCATTTAACTTCATGAAGATATCATTCCTAATTAAACAATGTAACTCTTCCAAACTGAAAACGATATTTCCGCAATTATTAAAAATAAACCAAACTGCAGATATTCATAAAAGTAATTTTTTTTAGAGTTAAAAATGTGCAATAACTTAAACAGCACAGCACTCGGGCATTGTTTCGTGTATTACATAATTTAATACTCCAGAAACTGATAAACATAATATATTGAAAACTAACTTCTCAATTAAATGACATTATGTAACAAAAAAAACTTCACCTTGGTGTAGGGTTACCATATCTCAGGATCAAGTAACATGTTGTATAACTTTTGTTTTATAACCCGTCCACATTATGTAACATTGTTTTTCAACATTGCAACATATAACAATACTGTACACATTAGAATAACAATACAATATAACAATATTATATGACATTGTCGTTCAGACGTTCGAGTTATATAACATTTGTGTCACGTTATTTAACCCGTTTTATAACATTCAGCGTCCACATTACTGAAACATGTGTATAACAACGTTTTATAACATGTTATGTTATATAATGTGTACGCACCGTTAAGCCTGGCGTCGACTACAGCAGAAATGCGTCGAAGCGAAGCGAGTTGAATTTATTCCTAGTGCGTCCATCTCTGACGAATCGATTCGAATTTTTTATTCATCGCAAATTCTTCATCAAAATAGATCGTTTTTGCGTCATGGACAGCTAGGATGAAGACATGTTTTTATTTCATCGTGATAATGTGGATCTCCATGATTAAACAATTCTGGATATTGTTGGACCAGTGATATCAATAGTTCTTCATTCATTTTTATTTAAACAAAGTGATTTTTACGAAAACGAAATAGAAATTAATTAAAATATGCTAGCGCGCATCCACTTCCCCGCGTCGATTCAGTCGCGCAGAGCTGAATCGAATCGCATCGGTGAAAAAGTTCGCCTGTCAAGCAATTCGCGCGGTCTATTCAATTCGGCGCGCCGCGTCTCGTCGCTAATGAACGCAGTTTCATAGTAAATATATAGGAGGCGACTTTCTGCGATTCGAGTCAACTCGGCGCGGCGAGCCTAGTGGACGCTTAGCCTTAGGCGGCACTGAAAATTTCAGGAATCAAGGAAGTGACACAATATTACTATTTAAAAATGTATTTATTGCTTTTCGAAGTATTCTCCGCGAAATTTGACACGTTTTTCCATACGATGGAACCAATCATTGAAGCAACCATTCCATTCGGAAGTTGGGGTCTCCAAAATGGCCGTTTTGTAGGCGTCCACAGCTTCTTCAGGTGATGAAAATCCCTGTCCACGCAATTTATTCTTTATTTTTTCTGTGTGCGATGTGAGAACTCGCATTGTCGTGATGGAGGATGATGCGGCGGTTGCAGTTCTCTTTACGAAGTTCAGAAACGACTTGTGGCAAACATGCTAGCATACCATTCTGCATTAACCGTTCTTTGTCCCTCAAGAGGAATAGTCGTAACATGGCCGGTTTTGGAGACAAACGTGGCCACCATTTTTTTTGCAACACTCCGTGAACGAACAATTTTTGTTGGCTTTAACTCATTTTACTATACGTGGTAGAGCCATGCTGCATCTATATTATGGTTGTAGCACGAATGGGTCAGCTTGACCGGGGAAGGACCACGCTCTCACAGAATACCAGCGTAAAATAGCAGCTTAACGCTGCTGTGTAACGTATGGTGAGTGTAGGGAACCGGAGACCCTTTTTACTGGAAACGAGGCATTCCATCTTATTCCTCACGGGTGACAACGCATCTGCATTTTGACTTTTAATCGAAGATAGATGTAGATGTCTATGGGCCACAGCGACCACTTACCATCAGGTGGACTGTGTGCTCGTTTGTCACCCTTATCCTATAAAAAAAAAATTTCGAACACCCAAACTCGTGACTGGTTTTTTGTTTCGGGTTCGTACGCGTATATCCAGGATTCGTCACCTAATACGATGTTTTATACAGCATTTGAGGATCCTGCGTGGAATCTTTCGAGAGTTCTGACGCACCAAGTAAAGCGAGCCGCTTTTTGCTCTTCACAGAGCGAATGCGGTATCCATCGGGAAAACAACTTTTTTACACCTAG